TTGACTGTTGTCATTTTTTAATTTGACAGCCTAAGGGAAAAGAAGTCAGTGCCTCTGAATAACAGGCATTGCATGTTTTAAAAATTCTTGGGGTGCACTGGTTGAAAGTTGCTGTGCCAGTGGAATGTACAGCAATTCACTGCGTATGTTTGGCAGAGCCCTGTGACTCGCACATTCAATGAGAAAGTATGACAGAGGTAACATGTGAAGGCGCAACCACTGACTAATAGCAGGCAGGATCTAACGGGTAAAAGCTGCCCGCCCAGGTCGGCCCAGCAGCATGGAGTCCCAGTCGCCTGTCTCAGCATCCCGAGTCAATACTGCACCTTTACAACAGCCTGCCCTTCTCAGCGCTCTCCCTGCTTTCCCGTTCATGGCTGCAAAGCCTAATAATTTTGCTATCTGGCCATTTACAGGAAAAGTTTGCTGACCCTATTCTAGGGATTATGACGCATCATTTATTTATTAGTCTCATGTAAATCAATACTTTTACCACATTCTGAACAAGACCTTATGGCAGTTGAACTTCATTTACCTGCCTCATGGCTAATCTCTATTTTTAAATATCACAAAGTATTTCAGTATTTTTTTTTGGTCAATATTCATTTAGGTTTATCAACGTATTTACCATTTCATTTCCCTTTATTCATTTCTCTGAGTCAACTTCCTATCTTGGATCATTTCTCTTCTACATAAAAAATATTTATTAATATTTCCATTTGTGTAGAATTCCTGACCACAAATTCTCTCAGTTTTTGTTTGTTTGAAAATGTCTATATTTAATTTCGAAAGATATTTTTCCTGGAAATAGAAACATAGGTTGACACTTATTTTGTATTGATACTTTAAAGATATCCTTTCATTGTTTTCTGGCTGTCATGGTTTCTTTTGAATAGTTGGCTATATGTCTTATTGTTGTTCCTCTGAAAGTAATCTTTTATTTCTTTTTTTTCTGGCTGCTTTAAATGTTTTTCTTGGCCTGTCTAGACTTTGATCAGTTTTACAATGATGTGCTTAGATCTGAGTTTTCTGTTTTTTCTTCTTGATTTTTATGTCACTTCTTGAATTTGAAAAACTCTTAGCTACTGTATTTTCAAAGACTGAGTCTTCATTCTCTTGCTTCTTCTTCTAGAACTTTTAAACCATTGACTCATATGTCTCTTTTGATCTTTACTTTTCCAGCACCTTCTACCCCATTGCTTCATTCTGGGAATTTTCTTCTGACCTTTTAGTTCACTAATTCTTTTTTCAGCTATGCCTAATTGGCTGTTAAACACATTTAATCACCACAATATATGAAGTATTTGGGATGATTCTAAATGAGATTTAGTCCTAGGATGGCTGGTTCACATATACGTGGGTAGTGTAGCCCTTTAGAATTCCAACCAAAAGCCTGGGGTAGGAGCAGCAGTAGTAGTTTCTAGAGCTCTTAGAGTCTTAGAAAGAAATTCCCAATTATTAGAGTCACCCAATAACGAAAGGGACTCGCTCTTAAGAAGCAAGTGCCCGTTACAAGAAATGCTCACAAGAATTTCAAGTCTAAATGGTCAAACTTAAAAGTCACTTGTGAAGAGATTGTGGAGATTACAGGTTTGGCATTCATTTGGGTTAGATAACCAGCATGTTTTTTTCATCTCTGAGTTTCTGTGATTCCACGTTTTTTTTCCAACTGTGATCTTCTCTCTCTTTCTTTTAAGTACTTTACTTCCTGGTGTCTGACAGTGTGATCTGAATTATGGAGTCTAGGCCTTCTAACACGTCTTCATGAGGAATAGGTCAGTATTCATAAAGAATACTGACAGTTAAGAACAGGAGTATTACAATAAACTCACTTTGTAGGCTGGGACAGTGAATATGTTTTTGCTTATCAAAAGTAATCACAGTTTCTTTTTAACAGAGTAATCACTCAGGTAGAGACTTTAAGAAAATGGGCAGGGGAAGATTGACTTGACTATATAATGACAGAAAAAAAAGATTGATTTAGTTGAGTCAGTGGGAGGAACAATATCAGTAAATGGGAAATTGACGTCCGTAACAAAAGCAATATCTCAGTTTTTTCCCATTTATTTAACATTTCAATCATTCAATCAGCGCATATATTTTGAGAACATAGGCTAAGAAGGATACACTCTGTTGAAATTTCTCAACATTTCACAAGTGAATTTCATGAAAACATTATAGGAGTTTTACATCTTTTGGGAAAGAATGACATCTGCTGCTATTTTGCATTTTTGGGAAAAGCAAACAATTTAAATCCTTTTTCCTTTAAAATGGCACACTGTTAAAAAAACAACAACAACAACCCAGAAGGCCCCAATGAGTGGACGTATATAGGGGTTACTAGGATGCAGATGAGTGTGCTTGTGGCTATAGTCACTCTGTAGGGAACTAGCTGGTTATTCCTAGCAGTTGGACTGGGCTAGTCTATTCTGCATTTTAATGTTTTTTCCTAACTATATATTGTTTAATTTATGCCAAGGGGAGACAGCAAGTTAATCACAATTATAAAATTAAATAACTTTGCAGATTCACTTCAAAGTCATCTTTATCAGACCTGAAGTTGCATTTATTAACCAAAAGTTTTAGATATTTCACTCAAGTTTTCTGTAAACCTAAAACTACTTTCTAAAAAGTTCTATTAATTTAAAAAATAAAGTGCAATTTTATTCAATGTGTATGAAATCTTAAATTTTAAGTTGTTGTATTTCAAAAGCCAATAGTAAAATGCAAAATATAGTGAGGATTACAAATGTATGTCCTCACTATACATTTGTGTTATGTAGAGAGGAACACTTACCTTGCAATCTGTTTAAGTGCAAACTGCAAGAATTTCAAACTGCAAGAAGTTTTTATCTGCATTCAATACCAATCATGTAGTTCAGGATTTGTTGTTTGTTTTTTTCCATATTTCAATATACATTATGACCAAATCAAACACAATAAAATATCATTTTATTTGTCAAAAATTGTCTTCTTTGCCCTGGCCAGTGTGGCTCAGTTGATTGGAGCACTCTCTTGCACACCAAAAGGCTGCAGTTTCAATTCCCAGTCAAGGCACATACCTAGGCTGCAGGTTCGATCCCTGGTCGAGGCACGTACAGAAGGCAGCTAATCAATATTTCTCTCTCATATCGATGTTTCTCTCTCTCCCGCCCCTTCTTTTTCCCCCTCCCTCCCTCCCTTCTCTCTCTAAAAAGAAAGCAATGAAAAATGTCCTTGGGTCAGGATTAAAAAAAGTCTTCTTTGAATATTTATTTAAAGAAAATTTAAAAGGATGTCATTTTTTTTATCGGGTAAAGCTGAAAATATTACCAAAGATTCTATTAAATATTAACTTTATAATATTACATTTGATAAAACTTTTAACCTCTGATAATATCTATACCACTCTATCATATATTATGCAAAAATTACAAAGTGATTTTTTAAATTAAGATTTCTCAAAAACTACTAGAAGTTTTTTTTAAAAAACTGGGAAAATACTAAGCTACTGAGGTGGGGTTGGGGGCTTCCCATTATTTTACAGTGAGAAAATAGAGGTTCAGAGAAATTGAATCACTTGCCTAAAGACAAACAACAATAGATGGCAGACTCTAGGTTCAAATTCATGCTCTTAGTCATTTATGCAGTCTGTACCTGTGCTTATACAGTGGGTGTAGGAATTGAGCAAAGAGGAGTCTGAATGGTGTTTCAAAGGCAGAATCCTTAGGCAATGGTGATAGCTCAGAGAGACTAAGTTTTAATAGGGCTAGAAGTGACACTGTGGCTTCCAGCCGAGAGATTTAGGAAAGTAGTGTTGCTATCATAAAAATAAATAAATATACCAACAAACAAGATGGGAATTTCATTCAGGTAAAAATGTGCTGAGATTGATATTGGCCTTTGTGAGTCACAAGTAACGTTAAGACTCACAAGCAGAGTTGTCATGTGGCCTATTTGACAGTACAGGATTTAAGTGCTGTTGAAAGTGCTGAAACGTAGATTTAAAATCCATTAACAAAGGGTAGTGGTTGAAACCAGAAAAGTAGAAGAGAACTCAGAGAATCAGAAAAAAATTAGAATCTGAAGAGGAGGAAAAAGGTAATCTAAGCCAGGGGTAACACCCAACTTGTGAGTTTGAGAAGCAAAAAATCTAAGTGAAGAAAAAAACAAAACAGAATAAAAAACAAAAAGATAAAGGAGAACCAGGACAGCATAGAATCATGAAAACTGATTATAAACATGGCTAAAATATATTGAGTACATGGATCAAGTCTGTGCTCTGTATTTTACATACAATATCTTATTTAATCCTCAGAGAGGTAGATTTGCATGTCTCTATTGACAGATGAGGACAGGGAAGCTTTAGCAAAGTTAAGCCATTTGGTGCTTTATAATAGTGGAAGAAACTCAGGCCTCATGCCAGAGAGATTTAAGATCAAATACCAGATTTGACATTACTGACCATGTGACTTCAGACAAGCGCTTAATTTCTTAGAGCCTCAGTTTACTCATCTGTTAAATGAAGGTAATATTTATCTTGCAGATTACTGTAAAGTTTAGCAATAGGAAATAGGAAATAACTTAGCATTGGGCCTGGTATACAGTAGGTACTGTTAAAAGGGTAGCAACTACTAATAATAGCAGCAGTACTTATTAATTGTAGACAACATCTGTGGCCCCGATAGTCATTGCTCCTTTAAAGTCAGGTCACATATACTTTTGGCAAAGTTTGGCCCAGATTGTTCTTAGGACACATATTTGAGCATAACAAAAAGCACATTGCTGGAATGTGTAGGGCTATTGCATATGGCTGTGGGTATGCCATTTACATGAACGGTAATGGCAATGGCTCCTCCTGACCTTTTGTCAAGTGACTGCCTTGGAAATGTGTTCGCATAAAACATAGAGGGCCAAAAATACAGCAGCCACAGCAGAACCAAAGAGGTGAATGCCATTGCCTGCCCTTTGCATTGGTTGGTACGTTGAATGCCTGTCTGCTTGTTTGATGCTCTCCACAGATCTGTACTCCCGACTTGGTGGTATTCTTGGCTTGTGCCAATCAGAGGCTCAAAGAAAGATTACTGAAGCGTGCAGAGCAACAGGGGCGGCCTGATGACAATCTGAAAGCAACCCAGAGAAGACTGATGAACTTCAAGCAGAATGCTGCTCCGTTGGTTAAATACTTCCAGGAAAAGGGGCTCATCATGACAGTAAGTTAGCTATAGTTTTATGTGTCTAGTACAAGAACGATCATTCAGATTTCTCCAGCCCTTGTGGTTTAGATATCTTCTTTACATTAAAAAAGTGGCTTTTCTTGAGTTCAAATGCAATGAAGAAAAATGATAATGTTGACCTGATTTGCCTTTATTAAGCCATACTGATAAAATACTTTCATATTAGTGTAATAGATTTTACCAATCAATTGGTAAAAAAAAAATAGGTACTTTTCACCTTAGCTAGAATTCCATAGCCCCCAAATAAAAAAGGATTTTGAAATAATTATCTTAATTATTTAAGCAGTACTTTCCCAGCTTCTCAACTCTTCTGTCTTTGGAACCTAGTAAAATTGATAGACTTAAAAATACATAATGAGCATAGTATTATATTAGACTTAAATTATAAGTGAGGTTTTATCATAATGTACCATATAAATAAATAAGATTCTCATGGCATAAAAATGTTTTCTAAGGGTTTGACTTGTCCATGAAGGAGTGATATCTCAAAACGGTGCTGATCTTTCTGCTCCGTTGATACAATGCAAATATTAATATTTTCATAAATGTTTAGTTTGTTTTATGGCTAATGACACTCCAAGTGCCAATGAAGACTGAGGCTGAATCATTGAATATAATTGCTGTAATATAGAATATTAAAAGTGAAAATCCAGCTACATTTATTATACCCATAACATCATGGATTCAAATATTGCACATAGAGGAGACAAGAGGATTATAGGTCATCTGAAGAAGGCATTTTACAGAAGACACTAAAATTGGGGCAGCTCCATGACAGCTGGATGGTGGCAGGCCGCAGCAGAAGCCTCCCCTCAGCCCTTGGGTCCTGCCTTTTCTAATGGAGTTACAGCCCCCGTAGAGAATCTGACTAAAGTGACCATGCCCATCCCAATAAAATACATGTGAAATGTGTTTCACAAACTTTAGGTGAATCCATTGAAGCCCATCCGCAGAGCTCCAAGGACCTAACAATTACTGGGTTAAAAATATCTTCATTAGACGAAAGTGCCCTTAAATCCTTAAGAGACAGTCACAACATTTGAATAACAATCTCTTCACAGTCTTTTTAGCACTATAAAGAAATATTTATTAGGATTTGCACCTTAAGTCAAAAGTTGTCATGTCAGAGAATTGTAAATCTGATCTGAAAATAATTCACAATGCCAGTTTATTTTATGGTCTAAAAGAGACACGGAGTAGTAATAGGAAAGATTTTAGAAAATCGGAGTGATGTTTCTGGAGCTATTTTTTGTTGGGGTTACAACTTGTTTCTCTTGCAAATTACCAGCGCTGACTTCTGCATGAAAAAAAACAAATTGACCCCACAGACCAAACCTCAAAGGCGAGGTGGAAAGCCAGAATTTTAATTGATGTTTGCAAGGTTTAAAGGTATTACCAGAGCGTCTCTGATTACTCCCTGCTTTTCGTGTTCGTCATCACAAGCACAGCAGATTTCCCCAATGAATGCAGAGTGGAGATTGTTAATTTACTAATATTTTGCATGGAGGTGAAATGCCATTGCCTCTAATCAAGGGAGTTGATAACAATGTGGATACCAGCCTGTAACCTCATTGCTAAACAAATAAGCTTTAAGACAAACACTTCTATTTACTGGGAGAATACTTGCCTTGGAAAGTTACCTTTTGAAAAGCAGTGAGTACAAACACAGGCTAAGCTCTGGAGAATATAATTTGAAATTTAGTCTGACAAAGAGCAAGGGCTGCCTCCTGAACCGCGTTCTCCTTCAGAACCTAGATCATAGTTCATTTTTGGAATTAAATATGTTTGGTAGCACTTCTACTTTTAAAGATGAGCTAAATAATAAAAATGATTATCTTTATTAATCACAAGCATATTAAGATTTTAATAAAAATCTTGGATAAATAGACCAAACACAGATACTTCCTTTTCTCTGTAGCTTTTTCTTTTGTTTCTACCTGCCCCTCCTAACTTATTCATTTATTCATTCATTAAATATTTATTGAGGCTTTCTGCTAGGTAGGCTTGCAAAGTTAAATAAGCAAAAAGTAAGAATCTTTATTTTATTCGCTGGCATATTCCAAGCACCTAGAACAGTACCTGTCTGGTATATAGTATGTGCGCACAGTAAATGAACAGAACTTACAGTCTGCAGGGGTCCGCAACGTCTAGGCCACGGACAGGTACTGGTCTGGGCCTTTTAGAAACCAGGCTGCCCAGCAGGAGGGGAGCTTGAGTGGAATGTGCTTGAATCATCCTGAAACCATCCCCACCCCCACTCCCTGGTCCATGGAAAAATTGTCTTCCACGAAACCGGTCCCTGGTGCCAAAAAGTTTGGGGACGGCTGGTATGGAAAACATGATATTAAACAATGAGTTGTTAAATGTGATGACTGTTGCAAAGGAATCCCCATCATGAATAGAACAGACCTTCTGCCCGCCTGCAGGTGCGCACAAGTATTTTTCTTGGTTCCAGGACCTTGAGGACCACAAAGGGCACTTCTGTCTTCAGTCCAGATGAGAAACGTCATCTTGTCGCTCCTCCTCTCTAGGGCTTTGGAGTCTGAAATCTCCCACTTGGAATTTCAGCTCCACTGACATTTAATACATTCATGACGCTCTCGAACTTGGTCTTCATCACTGAATTGGGGGTGTTACCCGCCATGTAATGTTGCCCAGGCGGAATGAGGGAACGCGTGTGACACAGTAGCCCAGGGCAATGCAGAGGTCCTGCTTGGCATGCACCGGGCAGCCACATGGCCCCGTTGCCTGCTTCAGGACCCAGCTGCACCGCCTGTCACCCTGTGACCTTATACAGCTACTTATCTTTTCTGTGACTCAGGTGGCTGACCTGTCAAGTGAATATAATCGTCAATCCCACCACAGTGTAATTTGTGAGGAAGAAATGGATGTCAAATACTTAGAACAGTGCCTGGAACATTGTGAGGGCAAATTCAAAGACAGCTATTCTTTCATAATTTTTTAAACTTCTCTCTCTTCCTCCCCGCTCTAATGCCTATCTTTTGGAACCTATTCTTGCCACCAACAATTCTGTGCTCTTTGTGGGTACTGTGTTGCCTTTTCTTCAATACATAGATTATTGAAGGAATTCAAAATGAAGAATTTAGGTTTTAAAAACTTCATGCCAGCTCTTGCCAGTGTGGCTGTCTCTCAGTTGTCTCACAGATGGAAAGGTCGTGGGTTTGATCTCTGGTTAGGGCATATGCGTGGGTTTCAGGTTTGGTCCCAGTGGAGCACATACAAAAAGACAACCAATCAATCTGTCTCTCTCACATAGATGGTTCTCTGCCCCTTTCTCTCCCTCCCTTCCCTTCTCTATAAAATCAATAAGTAAATCCTTGGGTGGGGATTAAAAAAAAAACCCTTCATGTCAAATTCATTTTTTCTTTAAAAAGTGTCTGTTAATTAGTTATAACATTGTGTCAGGGTTTACTTTAACTTCTATGTCATCCATGTAATCGAGCTATAAAATGGCTGTCTGAATAATGTGGTTGAGCTGTAACAAATGTCAACCCATTCTTTTTCCTTTTTTACCTCATCATTTACTGTGTCTGCTGGCAGATTTGCCTAAAGAACAAACCCAGTATGACTTAAGAGAAAACCTAATCAAAATAGCTAGGAGAAACATGCTGTTGCCTGAATACTGTATCTTATTGACATGGTTCCCATCATGTGCATCTCTTTATTTTCATTTTTTATTATAATTTCCTATATACAGCCATCTGTGCATCTGTGAATTAAGTGTAGGAAATGACAGGCTAGTATGTTAGGGATTTCATAGATTCCTTTTGGACCTAATAGATTCTTTTTGGACTTCATAGGTTCTTTTCAGACCAGCTTATACATAATTTTAAAAATTATCATAAGGTTGGTTGTAGTTGCTCATCATGTCCTTTACAGTATTATGCTTCTAATTAAATATTAGGATGCTGTGAGTTTCCAAAATTTGTTAAAAGTTTTTCTTTGAAGTTTGAGTATGACTGGGACCAGAAAAGCTGCTCCTTTAGTCTCACTGAATAGGCTGTGTCTTATGACATTTTGGAGCACTTGGACTTGATGAAACTATGCAACTCATGAACAATAACTCCCTTTCATAAATTGCTCAAATCCTCAATGATATGTATTTTAATGACAATTTTTATCTTAATTTTTAAAGCTGAAAAAAATAATTCACCTTTGTTTAATCATCTTTACTAAGTTGGAACCCCTTATTTAAGAAACAGCAATAGTTAAGACAGAGCAAGTCTTTGTAAGTTTGATGAATTTTTAAAAAAATACCTGTGGTTTTATTTTCTTATGAATGTGTTCTTTTTTAAATACCTGGAAAATAATAGGGTAAAACGTAATGTTCATGTTATCATTTTCCAAAATGCATTGTGCCATTGGGTATTCTATTCAGTTGGTAACACATTCAACTTGCCAAGGGAATGGTCACACTATTGTGTTCATTGAACAAATACTGCTTAACATGGGTGGTAATCAGTGAAAGTCCACATTTAACTTTAGGCTGTGAGGAAAGAAAATGGGCATTTCTTCTTCTGGACTTTTTACAGGAGAAGCATACTTTGAAATGAGAAGCTGTAGTCATAGAATGTATGAAGAGGCCTACTGATTAATACCCAGATTAACCCACTGGGTCTCTTCGGCCAGGAAAGGCATAGGCTGAAAAATGTTAAAATCAGGATTATCTGTTCACCAACACCAGTTTTTCTGGGGAAGTGGACAAGGGACTAAATATAAACCACCTTGGCATATAGCAAGGCCACATAGACCAGTGATTGCCTAATGCTTAATAAAGCAGAAAAAACTTTTAATGAGGCTAAGATGAATTTGGCATTTTTTTTCTTAAAGACTTTACTTTTTAGGACAGTTATAGGTTCACAGCAAAATTGAGAGGAAGGCACAGAGATTGCCCTGTACTTCCCACCCCCACATTTGCATAGCCCCCTCCAATAAAAACATCGCTCACCAGGGTG